GGGGGTGAAATCAATGAGAAAGCAAGGTGTTGGGAAAGTTCTGTCCTAAAATTTTCACCTTTAAAGCGTGCTTAAAGTGTGCAAGGAGAAAAAGTTGACACAAACAGAGGAAAAATAGTTTCTATTATACCCTCTGTATTAGTTCAAACGCATTCTACAGACTTCAACTCCACATTCCACAAGTTTGTTTGTTTTGTTTTTAAGCCAGTAGCTTTTTAAGAGGAATAGATTAAGAATTCAATTGCACCTTGCTTTAAAATGAAAGTGATGCTTTCATCCTCATGCATCAATTGGATAGAGGCTACTCGCAGACTGATGTTTAGTTGACCAAATAGGATTAAGTACATAAATGTCACTCCTAGAACAGTAACAGAATTTTTCATTTTAATCACTCACACAAACAGAATACTATGTCAAGAATTTTAAATGAAATATCTTTTGGGTCTAGATTAAAAACTGGAATGTATTATATTACAGGCCACGTAACAATTTTATTCCATCAGCAGACACAGAAAGTATGATTTGCAAGTGGGCCCATGTTAAAACAGTAGAGCTGTAAAGACTCTTCTGCAGAGTATTCAGATATTAATCTTGCTTTATTTTATGTGGTAAAGTTTAAACCTATGTAAAAGGGGCACAAAGGTAAAGACCAGGTAAGACTTGTACTTTCCTGTACCTGAACAATATGTAGATTGGCAATTCCAAAATTCAGTTCTCCACACAGAAACCCAAGAACAACCCTAAGTAAGTTAAGGAACTGCAATGGATTGCAGATTGGCATAGATTTACAACTGCTGTTGTGACTGCAGATCAATGAGGCAGTACAAAAGCTAGCTGGCTAAACCTAGCTCAAGTATGACAGCACCTGTCATGGCAATGCAAGCTGCCCCTACAATCTTTGCATAGTTTCTTCTGTGAAGTTTGCACTACCTAGTGTGGAATAAAGGCATGAAACATTGCAAAACCAAAAAACCTAAAATAAATTCCACATGTATTCAATTACAAAATTGAAAAGAATTCTCTAGAAGACAATAACTGTATCATACTATTTTATTTCTTCTGGGTAAAGCCTATTCTCCCTTGTTACCCGTGATAAGACTTGTGCTGTGTCACTATGCCATTTTAAAATCTTTTTTTCAGGTCTTCTATTCCATTAGTTTATAGAAAGTCTACATGTCAAAAATTTTTATCTTTTCTGTCGCTATTACCAGTCTGTAAACTACAGACAGAGAACAGTGATCTACCATCATCTTCAAAGTATCATCATTTTGCAGAAGTTATGGAAGTTTGTAAATTACATACAGACAGTAAACATAAGGCATGTTTCCCCTTCAACATGCAACAATGTCCTGAGCCAGCTTAGTATATTAGAAAACTCAGAAAAAAAGGAACATATCAAAAATTGCACTTCCTGCATAATTTTCAAGCTTTACGTCTATACTTTACAGATCACAGCACAAGTTTGTTAATATTTTCTTATCAGCTGCTGCACTCAGTTGTGCCTTAATTGCAGAAACAGTAACTTATACTGGAAGACCTTAAGTTTGCTGGTGCTCTTCAGTGATTTCTTCAGTTAACCATAGTGTACATGAAGGGAAAGAAGTCCATTCCCTGTAGGCATAGCTAAAACCAAGCCCTAAAACAAGAACACCGGACCATAAACTTCGAGAAAGTAGTGCTGGACTAAGTGCAAGTTCTTACACCCTCTGCTGTAGTGTGTGATTACTAACAAATATTACATGTTTATACAGCTCCTTAAATGAGCATTAAAAACTCATTTTTGCCAAAGCTGGTGGACTGATCAACCATCCTTGTATTCCAAAAGGAAGACTCTGTAGCATTTCATTATTAGTTTCAGTTAACACTACCCTGTGGTTACAGCACACAGAACAAGCCTTATAAGTGTTTTACCCTAGCAAGTCAGAAAACACCTTCAGATAAACCAGTCTGCAATACACATTCAGCTATCGCATGCTCAGAATTATATTTTTGTCTTTTAGAAATTGCTTTACCAGCCCTGAAACTGTCTTGGGTTCTAAAACTTATGGAAAGGATTCATGACGAATGACCACAATAGTTAATTATTGAAACAGAAAACTAGTCAGTACAGCTGAGTATTCCTCTCAATTTTGATTTTCAGCACTTATTTCAACCAGAAATTAACAGACTCTTTCATAAGATTATATTTATTCTGGAGTGTTCATATCGCTTCTTATCCTTTTAAAAATTACCCAGCAGAGACGCAGTGGAATTTTACCTAGATTTGGAACTGAAATACTGCTTTAACCGAATTTTCATCTTCTGAATGAGTAGAGTAATTAATGTAGAGTAGAGAATGAAAGAGTAATTAAGTGTATACAAACATAGAATCATTCAGCAACAAGTTTGGAAAGAATAAGTTATCAGAAAGAATTAAATATCTGCAGCCTCTTCAGTAACACTGTACAACACTGGCCAGTCAGCACAAGTTCTCCCAGTTAAATGTACCTCCAAAAAGATGATTAACATGAAATCTTATGTTAAGGATTTTACAAAATACACTGCAACGGCAACTCTTATTCTGTATTACTGAATTCAGCCTATTATTTCACAACTTTTTTTTTTTTTGAAAGTTAACTTTGAGAAAGCCTGGATACTTTGCTCAGTTCCTCAGGTGTGCCTTAAGTCCCCTCTACCCCACTTCCTCTCAGCTGTTAACAATTTCAAGACTGATTTGCTAGAAATCTCTCTTATTCTTATTGGCTTAGCAGCATAACAGTTTCTCTCAGAAAATCTAGATGAAAAGCCCATTCAGACAAGGCAGGCAAAGGTACTTTCCCACAATTACAATGCAAGTTAACAACAACATACTTTAGTGACCACAGAATCAACTTTTTCTTTAGGATAGACGTCTATGGCTCAAGATCTTTGGCTGAAAATAAACCCTGAGGGCTCAATATATTTTACTGAAGTCATTCTTTAAGAATTCAAGGCCTACCCCCATTCTCAGTCAATATATATGCCCAAAGCTTGTTTACTCTTCTTGAAACTACAGAATACTACCCACATGGGTAGTAAGTAGACACACACACAAAAGAGGAGGTCATTCCCTAAACTGAGGAAGCCTTTGTTTTTCTTTTAAGAAATTGACAGTTATTGTCAATGCATTTGAACTCCCTTAATGTCCCTATATCTGCTTTTTTTCCAAGAATGCTCTTCCTAATAGTTTTCAGAAAGAAAATTGAAGGTCTATCATCAGTTTCACCCTACATTCTGTTACTCATCCTCTCACTCTCTCCCCCAAAGAATTTAAAGTTTAGTAGCAGGCAGAAACAGTCTAATCATACATATCACAGAAAATAGCTATAGCAACTCCCACTTCGAAAAACAGGATTATCAGCCTTTACGTCTTCAATCTTTATAAAGAAAGATCTAAAGGAAATCTTGAGCAATACAACATTCTCAAGGCACAGAAATTACATATCCCTCATGAAGAAGTTTAGTCTAAAGTAATCAAAAATTAAAACTACATTTTATACATTTAAAAGGGATATACTGCTCAGAATACTTACCTGTATGACTGTTGAAGTGTGCAAAATTAGCAAAATTTGCTGTAGCAGCTGACTGAGGAGGTGCAGCAGCAAAGATATCTGAGCCAAGGTCACTGAGGAGGTCAAATTGTTTCTTTTCTTGTTGCTGCTGTCCTTGAGATCGAACTACAACAGGAGACTACAAACAACATTTCAATTAGATAATACAAAAAAGCTGGTATTTTACCAAACTGACTTTTGCAAAATACTAGAAGGATAGACCAAGCATATTTCTTTAACAAATCATTTATTCCTGAAGTTTAAGGTGCTGTATAGAACACAGACCCTCCTCCTATAGTATGAGGAGGACAATCTATTTATGCTACTATGGTGGCTTTTAAAGGAACTCTGCAGCAGATTTCCATGGATTAATAGGGCATAGAAGAATAAAGTAGCAGCATGTAAGCAACTTCAAAATCACGTATTTAAAACTGCAAATACTGTACAAATACAAGTAGTAAAACTTAATTTTACAAGTTGGAAAATATTTTTCACTGCATTTTGAAAAAAACCTTTAGAATTCAGTATAGGAAGGGAAAAATTGAAGAATTTCATAGCAAGGCTGCAAGCCGCAAATTTCTACTGTTTGAGTCTTTAAGAGGTCCATTCAAAAGCTGCCTGTATCCTAAAGATAAAACAGTTTTTCAAAAAACTGTCTTCCCTCCAAAATCTAAGTACATAGTGTTATTTGGCTTTACAAAACAGCATACAGACAGTCCCTGAAAGCCACTTGATAAGACAGTTACAGAATGCATAGCAAGTAATAATGAACACGCACGCTTTTCATCCACATATTCACTACTAATCCCATGGTTAACAGTATCAGCCATTTTATTGTTTTCAAATTTAAAAAAACAAACATGGAAATATATCACATTAGGTTCAAACTTTAGAGATATTTAAGCAAAAGATAATCACAAAACTTGTCAATCACACTGGAAAATTCTGCTTACTGAAAATAACCATTAAAAAACCAATTTGGTCAATAGAAACAAGCTTAATTTAGAACCTGATCTGCAAACACCTGTATACTTCAACAAAATACATAAAATAAAGTTGTCTTTAGTGATTAAATTATTAGTAACAGTTGCTATTGCAAGAATTCTTGTGCCACTAAAAGAGAAAAAATACTGCTGAACAGTTCTGGGCTCTTCAGCTCTGTCATTACTCACTTGGCTAGGTGTGCCCTTGTTTAAGTGCAGTGTGGGTGCAGCTTCTCCCAAAAGAGATTTGAGTGGCTTCACCTCAGGTGTGCTGCTTGTACTACTAGCAGAAGACCCCGATATGGATGCATGGACTGATGCCACCACCTTTGCTTGTTCTGGAGGAACATACCTACATTCAAAAAGAGCAATGGTTTTTACAAGTTTAACATGAAAAGTTCTGCTCAACATTCCTAAGACTCAAGTGTGAGAACTGGTAGATCTCAGCTTTGCTATTTTAACTGCTGACGCTGCAACAAATTGTATCAGTAGTTTGCAAAATACCATCATTTAAATATGCCAGATATTTTTTAAAAAATGGACTAGAATTCCAAGTCATCAATATTTTGTAGCACTTATTTAATACAAGCCACACATTTTCCACCTCCTAATAAAAGCCTGCAAAACCCTTACTTTACACTGTTGTTGATATCCCCTTAAGCCATTTCTGTTCCATCAATATGAACTACACACTGAGAAACTTCTTTAAACTGTTTGTCTTCTCTGCTTCCTGTAGGAGCTCTGAATAAAGTCCAGAAATCATTTTACTTTACAGAGCTGTGCTATCTAGTCCAAAGAGCACACAAGAATGTGAGGATAACAGCCCATCTTCACTTCTTGCCATAGAGGCAACTTTTATAGTTGTAAAGCTATCTTACCATCTTTTCTTTTCATATTTTTCCTGTAGAAATTCTTTTACTTTCTGTGGATCCCTGAAGTCTGGAATTGCTGATGATCTATCATCAAATAGGCCTAGCCAAATCTGTTTGCACACCTTATAAAAAAAAAACAACCACAGATTAATCAGCGAAAATATCTTAATTCAAAATCTATTTAAGTTTACAATTATTAATATATCAAACCATTAAAAAGTGTGTGGCTGCACATTTTCTGTTCCAGACTGAGCTGCTTTAACGACCGGTGCACCGTGTACTGGTCTAAATACTTAAAGTTGAAAGACCATCTGTCACAGCAGGGCAAGCAAATCCTAGCATCCAATTTCACCATCAAATACTGCTTTTACAAAATATTTGTAGTATGTACTCATGAAGGGGCAAAGCACCTGATTTCTACTTGTGATCTTTAAGACTCTTCTTTACTTAATTCTATACATTCCCTTATCTGTCCTTCAGGGTTTAAACTGTTTCAACAGATTCCATATGCCATAAGCCCCAGATGGTAGCTTTTAAAGGATCTGAGGTTTAGTATTTATACTTATAATTACTATTTGAGTATAGGAACTTTTTTTTTTAAACAGCCTTTCTTACCATGATGCAGTTTCTACGGCATCATATACATTTAATTTGAGCGAGGGTATGAGAGAAGGGGGAAGTACTCTTGCTCTGCTTTAATTTTCTAATTGTAGTTGTGAGTGAGCAGAAGTTGAAGCAATTGCAAAATTCTCAATATGTTCAGCTTCAATTCCTGACCAAAACAAGAGGAAAGGTGACTGTTCTCAAAACTAAACAAGACACAGGAGTTGTCACATTTAAAACGTTTTCTTTAAGCACTTGCGACTATTCTGCAAGTAACCTGAATATGCACCCAAACATTACAAACTCTCTAAAACAGACTCTGACATTTTAGAACAGGTTTCTTCCAGAGAAGTGGAGTCAAAAAAGCTTTGTTTTTACGATGCATACCCTTTCTTCCCACACCCTTTCTGAAATAGTCCTGACCACCCCTCTTTACATGCCTCCTGTAAGTGTTGCCCTCTATCCCTGCAATAGTGTCAGGTTTTCAGTATTTTCCCCATGACCTTCAGAGGAAACACATGCTCTAACAAGCAAGAGCTGCATAAACCGACTGTCATGAAAGTTGGCAAATCAAGGTAGAAGCTGTGATACTTCCACTACATCATCTTCCCCAGAGAGGTTTTCTTCTTCTTTACCTGGCCAGCTAACTTCACCAAAATTGTAGCAACTTAGCATCTTCAGGAGCACTGGTTGTCATATGTGATAAATTTTATAGATCATTTCAAAGATTGCTCAGGATTAAGAGATTAGACAGACAGCATAAGTATGTATTTCATACTTGATGTCTCAATTTTATATAGCCTGCTTACATGTCCAACACTCCACAGTCCTTATTGTCATCTACTGGATAGAGACAAACAACAATGGGAAACAAATGTAATGATCACAGTATAACTCTAAATTAATGATTTAAATCCTCATCTAAAAATAAGATCAGTAGTTCCTCCTTCAAATAAAGTCAGCTATTCAGCATTCATTCAGCAATTGTATTCCACAAAAGGGTTAAGTTCAATGCACTGATTTGAGTTTGCAAATTTAAACAGTCATTATTTGCAGTACGGTAGTAGATTAAATGAAACTGAAGGTATTTAATACTTCTTCATACATTAGTCAAAAAAGTCAGAAGTCTATTCTGAAATAACAGCCAATAGCATGAAGCACTATTTTAATAGTAGCAATCTTTCACACAAGCACTACTTTTTGCTGACAAAATTTATAAATTCAGAACATTTATGGGTATAGCTTTAAATATCTGCAGTGGATAGTCTGATGTGCGTGAGCAGTGGTATTTCTATACTTAGATTTGTGAGTATAACTGCACCAACTAGTAGTCATAGGATTGCTAGGAGGAAGAGAAGTCCTGTTTATGACTAGTTACAGAATACCTGGCAGCAGG